GGATAAACGCGGATGAACGCGGATGAACGTGGATAAACGTGGATAAACGTGGATGAACGTGGATGAACGTGGATAAACGCGGATAAACGCGGATGAACGCGGATGAACGCGGATGAACGCGGATAAACGTGGATGAGCGTTGATGAACATGGATGAACGTGGATAAACGTGGATAAACGTGGATAAACATGGATGAACGTGTATGAACGTGGATGAGCGTGGATGGACGTGGACGAACGTGGATAAACGTGGATGAGCGTGGACGAATGTGGATGAACGTGGATGAACGTGGATGAACATGGATAAGCGTGGATGAATGTGGATGAGCGTGGATGAATGTGGATGAGCGTGCATCTCAGTGTAAATGTTTGTTCGGAGAATTCGAGGAGCTCAACATTAAAGTTACCTTTTTGATTTCCACCATTGAAAGACTCACCGACCAAAGAATAAGGAGAATCTGCAGGATCAGAGTTATGAATGAATACAGTTTATAAACTGCTTTGAGAGTTTGTGCCAGCAGAGGTGTTACCGTTCATGTCTGTGTTGTTTGGCAGGTGGGTGATGGTGGCGTATGTGGGGTCGTCCTGCTTCAATAAACCTGTGAAAACAGCAAACAGCCTTCATCACATCCACATTTCACTTTCATGCTTTTACACAACAAACCAACATTTGTACCTTTTTACAGGAAGCTGTAAACTTTACTGCAGCAGTATGTAGAACTATGCACATGTGATATGAGGTGGTGCATGTGGAGCTAGCAACTATAGATACCTTTATTACTGCCAGCGTGAAAAGTGGAACCAATCAAGGAATATGTCGAGTCTGTAAGAGGACAGGACATGTTTGGATTAAATGAAGGCAGATGCAGTATTAGCAGAACGGCTGTGAAGGTCGACGGCAGCTCAGGTGTTACCGGGCAGGGTTCCAGTCTGTGGCAGGTCGGGGATGGTGGCGTATGTGGGTTCATCATTTTGGTTTGACGTGTCTGTTAAAACATTCAACAGGATGTTGTAATCAGATTTTAAGGTTGCTTTAACACAGTTAGGTTTTTTTTAAAATTGGAGACGTAAGCTTGGGCACACCTGCAGCTCGGCTGCTTTAATCACACCTGCCAAAAATTAGTTTTTGTTTGCGTTTCTTTTTATTTTAAAACCATCTTCTAATGCTCAGATTGCATTATGAGTAATTGTTATGGCTCAATAAACAGTCTCTTTGCTGTTCCCATGTTAGCTTCATCAGACTCACACATACACAACGTCAGCGGGGAAGAGTAACCTAGTGAGGAGCAGCTTTTTTCTGTTGCTTTGCTTTTTCATGAGATGAATTTATATTAATATATTCTCTACGTGTGTCTCTTTGTATGTAAGGTAGAATTAAAAGAACAACCATGCAGATGTACCTTGCAGCTCTGTCATGCAGTGTGCAGATCGCGGTCCAGCTCCTAAGAAAAAACACTGAATTACTTCTCAGTTCTTGTAACATGAAGTTTTGCAGCAGCTGGTCACACGTGGTTCTGTTGGTCACCCGAGGCCTGAACATGAAGCTGGTTCAACACACCCAGGGTATCTTTTTATCTGGATTCATGTATCTAACATTGGTGATCAGACGCCCCGACTTCAGAGCAGATTCCAGATTTTCCCTAAGTCATATCCTGGGTAAATCACCATGGTAACTTGTGCTGTGCTCAGGAGCATGATTTGAGATCAGAAAGCGATTGGAGTTTAGAGATCAGTAGGCATGACATCACCACCTACAGACCAATCAAATTGAATCCTGGACAACTGCACACCAAGAACACCTGATTAATCAAATTAACTTTCCTCTTTTATCAGAACTTTTAATATTTGAATGGATTCAGTTTAAAGTGTCAGAGCTCCAAAGTGCAGCTGTCACCTAGAAATCAATGCAGCACTGAAGATGCATTTTTAAAATAAATTACTGGAATTAAAATGTGCACTCTGTGCACTAAATCACCAGATCAGCGATTAATGATCAGGTGTTGGCAACAATGCTGCCTTCACTGGTCTTTCACAGATTTCTGATCAGCAGTAGGCGACATCTCTGGAGATAAGGATCATTTTCTGTGGACGGAGAGTCGTATGACCTGTGAAAAGGCTCTTTTAGATTGGTCACACACTGCCAACACCAGCTTGTTAATGAGAGAGCTCAGGGGAAATGCAGTGAGTTGATGAAATGTTTCAGCTGCTGATTACAAATCTATAAAGAACGTAGAAAATATAATATGCTGAGTGACCCCTCATCTAGGACTCTCCTCAGCTCTTTCTGGGATAGTGGC